TGCATTGTGACTTTATTCAAATGTGAAGATTAGATGTATAGAACACTAGAATTTAAAACAAGCAAATCACATAGTCACTGAGGTAGCAAAGAGGCCATGACTAGTAACTTGAACAGAAATCTGGGTGGAAAAGGAAGTTTTGTTTTAGAGAAGCATATCTCATACTATATTTCTAATTGATGACAGTTGTCAAGAGCACAGGAATAAGAAATATGACTGCACATGTTTTATTTTACTGTGATTAAGGTGTAATAACTGAAATAAATGTGAGTTCTGGAATGTTGTACTTAGAAACTGTTCAAGATTTTATTTTCTTTTTTGACATATTCTTTTTTAAAGATGAGTAACACTGTGGCCAGACTAATCTTTGTGTCTTAATTTGATCTCATAACCAAATGAAGCAGATGATTTAACGTATCTTCTTGAATGCCCTACAATGCTGAGCTTAACCATTTCTGAGCTATCATCTCAGAAAGCGCCATGCACCAATTGGGAGGCCAATATATTACCTAATTAGACAAGACTTTTTTCTTTTACTTTAGATGTTTACACAAGTTCTAATGAGGAAATTATACCAGGAACCAGTAACATCTTTTGATAATTCATTTATGATGGACCCCAGAAAATGTTCATTAGAAATTAATAGAAACAAAAATGTAACTTCTACAAGCATTTATGTTTTTTTCTTCATTTTTGCATTTATGTTTTAAAAGCTTGTAGGAAACACACATAGATCTCACCTTACAAAATTGAATTCAATAAGCTTTTTGATTTTTGTTATTACTATCAAATGACCCTGTAATGGCAACAAAAAGCATGGTGTGTCCTTGAACAAAGGTGACTGCAACATCAGGAATCCCTTTATAATTTCAGTCCCAATTGATTCTTTGTTAAAATTATTTTTATGTACCAAAGAAACTTCAGATTTATTCTGTAATAACTTATTTATTTTGGAACCCATTGAGTTGACAAAGCTCTGGTTATAAGCCAGCGTTTGATCGCCAGTTCAGCCTTATGCAAGTAATTATATAGTTTGCCTTAGGTTTTTGGGTATGTCATTAATAACGTGGACGCTTTCAGGATGCCAGATTGAGAATGGCATACTGGACTGGTGCTCAGTAATCAGAGCAGGGGGGAAAGGCCTGAGACAGAGTCAGCCGACAGAAATTAGCGCTTTTATGCAGGAAGTGTTTCACTTCCCCCACGTGTAATGTCATATGCAGTCAGCTTGCTTCTTCCTAACATTCTATGCTAAACACTTCAAAGAGGGCAATCATGCATTGATAGAGAAGAGGTAAGAAAAAGTGTTGTTGATAGGACAAAGTTGTAATCGGTGGATTTTTCGGCGGCGGGAGAGCGGGGGGGGGGGGGGCGCGATGCAGTCTTTATTTTAGTAGAAAGCATCGCATGTTATGGAAAATGTGGTAATTTGAACCTTGTAATACTGCTATGTTGAATCAGCCCACTATCATACTAACAAAATGGCTCTTTCCAGTTAGTAGCAGGGTGGTAGTTGTAAGTTATATTTCCCAACCTTCAAACTCAAAGGTGTTTTTTTTGTTTGTTTCTTTTTACATTACTCTAAGAAATTAAGAAATACCTTTTGGCAGGTATATCATTCATTATTTTTAGGGAATTCCATATAATCCACAATCTTAACATAGAAACTGAAGAATTTTATCAAACCAATCAGATTTTACTTTTGAGGGAATACTTGCTTCTATTTTTTGTAGAGAATAAAATTATTTAAAAAATAAAATATCCTCTATAAATAGTTGACTGATCTCCAGTGAAGCAGAGAATGTGTTTTTTAGGGAAATTGACAGAAGAGATGATCTGAATGGAACTTGTATCTTGACTATACTTTTTCAGGATGTTAGCCGTTGAGCAAGACTTAGGGCAGTGTGAAGAATTTGGGGGCTAAAAGGAAGTGTTCGGTAAAAATGACAAAGACAGGGAAGGTGCAGGTATAGCTGTATGGTGTTGTATAGGCACATTCCTCCTGAGAAGAATCAGGTCAAGGACTAGGTATAATTGATGTGAAAAATATTTTTTAAAAAGCTAAGATGTGGTCTCTGCCTCCAAGAAATTTATAGCAATTGAATAAATTAGGTGCTAGCACTTAGCTTTTCCTTGGTAATTTCTGTCACTTAAAGTCCAAACTAAATTTAAAATCGTCTGTCTTGCCCTAGGAAAATTCTCTCACCTTCATAGTCCTTGTAGTAGGAAACATTCTGTTATTCTTAACAATAGAGAATTGGTGACTCTATTTTCCCGATTTTACACTTGTAAATCCTTCATTCGTCCCTCACAACATCTGTACTCGGTCTGCTGCCATGGTGAGTTATTTCTTATAATTCTTTAGTCCTCAATAATAGGTAATTAGTGTAGAAAAATTTAGTGCAATTTGATGTGGAAGTTACAGACCTCAAGGGAATTCCTTAACTGATACACCTGCCTCCGGGCTGGTTTTTCCCAGCTCAGTTTTGTGTTTAATGAAAAACATGTTTTTGTTGTTATAGCTGCGTCTTTTACTCTTGATGCCACCCCTCATTAAGTGAGCCTTCCCTGGAGTATCACTTGGAAGGGTGACTACTGTTAGGTGAGAGTCAGAGAACCTCACGAATGACTGGAACATGCATTCTAGAATGTTCTAGGGTAGGGCACACTACATCTTACTTCCAATTGAAGTGAATGACTTTTTGTTTCACACATAAACACAAAATTAATGTTTTGCCCTTAACATGTAATTCAGGACTCAGATGATGGGGGACTGTTTATCTGGAGGGCCAGGCACAGGTTTTGTGGGACCTAAAGATGACACTGTCTTGGTGGTGGTGGGGGTTCTCTTTAGGAAAAACAGAATAAAAAATACCTTTCTCCTGAAATTGTTACAAGAACATATATTCGCACATTCCTAGGGCCCTCCTGGGCCTTGGAGAAACCTCTGCTCAGGAGGCCCTGAAGCTGATGTGTCACCAGCTTTTCAGTGGATCTGTCTTTGGCTCATGGAATAATCATAAATTATTATTTAACTGATAACTTTAGATGTGAAAAGAGTGCTTTATATTAGCTTCAAACTTTGTGGAACTTAAAAATAATGTCTAATGCCAGGTGAGGTAGAAAATGAGACAACACTGTGAAAAAGTCTAGTCTGCAGTGCTCTTGAGACATCAGGTGGTCTCACAGGCTCTGAAACTGTTGGGCGAGATCAGTTCAGCAGTGGTGCTCCAAAACACACCGGTCGGGCCGTTAGCTGTTAATCTAATAGGTAGACGTGGGCCGAAACTGCTCTTGCAGAGGCTCCGATGGCTGAAAATGGAAGCACTTGAAAAGGCAGGGAAGGAAGGAAACCAGGAGAGAAACACCTAAAGGTGAAAGTCAGTGAATCGACTGTGTATTAGGAGTTTTAGAATTCACCCATAAGAACAGAGTAACCATTTTTGGTTGATCAGAATTTTATTTGTTAAGATAAGTAATTAAATAGCTTAAAACATATTGGTTAATCATCGCATTTTCACAATGGTCATTTTAAAATCACCATTTATACCAAGAATAAGAGCAGAAAGATAAAGTACCATGATTCTACAAAATAGCTTCCTAGAAAAGCAATTAAGTGATTTTTTTTTAAGTTCACAGAAGATAAATGGTGTGGGCTTCCTATTTCCTGTCACTCTTGGCTACCTTTGTATGAAAATGGATTTCTTCCACATTAAAGTCGGCAGCAGCCTGTCGGAGGAAAAAGGCATCTGCAGAGCAATGTGTGCATTCCATATTCGTGCCCGTCTAAAGTTCTTCATTCCCTTTGAGCTGCCTGGTGTTTCCACATCGGCCGGCTGCGCTATCGCTCACGATGAAATGAGGGTGAGGGCCAGCCTGGAGACTCGGTTTCCCTGTCGGTTGTGGACTCCTCCTCCCCACACCCCTGGTCGCCGTTCCCCTTCACTCACTGAGACAGAAGCCACGTCCTGCGGGACAGTGTGGCTTAGCAACAGCACCGATAGTTATGCTCTGCACGCCTCCTGTCCCATAATGCACGTCCTCCCTTCTCTTCCCGAGAGGACAACTTGTACCGTGTAGACTGAGAAGAGTGAAGACTCAACACTTTGATCTCAGGTGTAGAATGAAAGCATCTGTTTTCTGAATTGTAGAAGGGTCGTTCTGAAGGTCATCGTGAAGGCTGGCAAGTGGAAATGCTGCCATATTTTTGGGTACTTCTATGTTTAGCCAGTGGGGCCCTAAAAGATAAAGCGCTTAATCACTCAAAAATTTGAAGAC